ACATGTTCAGGAAAGCTTATTTAGTGTAAGCCAAGGCCACTGCTTTGTATCATTTCGCAGCTGGAGGAGTGTACTTGAATAGTTGTGTGTGCAGACTTCAGTTTAGTACATCTCAGAATAGCTACCCAGAGGAGAGAGTTCTTCCCTGCAATCTACACAGGTTGGTATGGTACAAGCACTGGCTTTACAAGGCAGCTTTCCTGAAAACCCACAGGGTGGAATAGAGCCCTTCCCTAAACTACTGAATATTACCTGTGTGTGACCACTCTGCCTGTGGTGCCTGCTCTTTGCCCTTCCGTTACAAGTATGGGGATGCCGTAGTATGGTAGGATAAAAGGGTGCCTATGGCTTTTTTTTTTAACCTCCATCACTCCAGGGGAATGGTCACTGTTCTGTTTCAGTGGCACTGTTACCTCTCAGGTCTCCTGACGTGGGCTTCAGAAGGGGGTAATTTATAATGGCATTTATAATGAGGATGGAGACAATTTCTAGAAAACAGTCCTAAATCAAGGACACTTTAGCTCTCTGATAGTGGAATATTTGAAATTATTGGTTGAACTTCTGTAACTGAAAAAAAAAAAACCATAATCCAAAAATACTCCAAAATTCAAATCTTTTTGATAACTGACATGTTGCCACAAGTGAAAAATTCCACACCTGACCTCCCGGAGCGGTTCAAAGGTGCACTGATATGTATGGAATTACCTTCCTAGGCCTTTGTAAGATACATTTGATACATAAGTGACTTTCATGTTTAGAGTTGGGTCCTTTCCCCAGGATATTTCGTTACACACATGCAACTACTCCAAAACCCAAAACATCCCAGAATATGAAGCACTGCGGTCTTGAGCAGTTTGGATTGGGATATTCAACTTGACAACCATCTTTTGTCAAGAATAACCTTATTTATGTTTTTCTCAATTCCATGAATACTTTATTTCTCAAGAACCATTGGCCATAGGCTGTTTCTCCACTATTCAGCCTTTTCAGAGACCACAAATGTGTGTAAATGGACTGCGTGTAAGTCTGTGTGGAGGGGGTGGTTTCAGTGTGATTTACAGGGGTTCTGTATCAAATAATTTTGAAAAGGAAAGACTTGTTAATAGTATTTTTTTAAATGGGTGATTTTTAATTTTGATTTATTTGAAAGGGGAGTTGGAGAAATGGACTGAGAGAGCTTCCATTCGCTGGTTCCTCCCCAAAAATGTTTCCGATGGTAGGGATTGGGCTAGCTCAAATCCTGGAGCCAGAACTCAGTCCAGGTCTCCCATATAGGTCACAGGGATCCACATACTTGAGCCATCACCTGCTGCCTCCCAGAGACTGAATTAGCAGAAAGCTGGAATTGGAAGCAGAGCCAGGATGCAAACCCAGGCAACTCTAGTATGGAATGTGGGCATCTCAAGAAGCGGCTCAACCTTTGCGCCCAACACCCACCCCTATATTCACTTTTTGTGTCTTCTGTAATATGCAGCCTGGGTTGGGTTGAGGGTGGGGACTGCATTTTCCCATAGTGCACAAAGTATGTTCACACAGACGTCCCAGGTCCCTCAGCATTAGTGTACAAAGGAACGGAATTAGACGGGCGCCCTTCCTTGGCCCGTCTGGTTTGGGAGAGGAATGAAGATCAGGAATTGAAGTCTTCCTGGTTTGCATAGTTGTGTTTGCAGGACCACACTCCATTAGCAACATTTCTGTTTCAGCCCTTACTGAGTTCAGCCTCGTTTTCTCTCCTCAGATCTCTGTGCAGCTCTTGGTTGTGCCTCCCTGCACCCTTGCTGGAGGTCTTACCACCGGCCTCAGAGACTGCCACGCTTCCTTTTTTGTACGGCCGCTTGGTCTGATAGGTTGTGTCTGCAAATCTGAGAGCAACCTCTTTTTCTTTTTCTTTTTTTTTTTCCAAGATCTAAGCAGTATAATATAACTGTGTCAGGGTGTTCTCAGTCACATCATTGACCTCCAATGGCAGTTTATTCCTCCCCAGCCCCCACCCCTGTGACACTTGAATGCATTAACAGCACTGTCTGTAGCATTTTAATTTAATTAACCCAGTGTTTATAATCCTCTTGGGAAAATCCTTATCTTTCCCCCACCCCCCTGGCCCTTACAATGTTAAAATAAAGCACCTCTGGTTTCCATTTGTCTGACAGTTTGCTTTAGAGGTGAATGAACTAGGGTGAGACCAGAGAGGCAAGTGGGAAAAGAAAGAGGTTCCTTTTATTTGGGAGGTTGGGTGTTAGTCTCCTTAATCAATTCTGGCTAACGGTCTCTGTGTGAAATAGTGGGATTTGTTTGACTTCTCTAATTGCTGATACTCTGCTGATGCACCACTGTGATATTAAGTGTGTGGTTATCCTACGAGAATAAGAAACGAGGACCACGAGGACCACGTGAGTCACCCTGGAGATGCACGAAGAGGGACCAAAGGAGTGTGGTCTGCAGTGTGGAATCCCTGCTGTGTGTTCTATTTTCCTGGGATAGAGGCCCACTCCTGGGGCAGCATCCTCTCTGGGGTCCCCTGAGCGCTGTGCTGGCTGCTGAGCCCAGGTTACGGGAGGAGTGGGGGACTGCTGGCAGATTTTCAAAGTCCTAGATGCTCGTTTTGCTTTTACCCATCTTGGTCAAGGTAACTTCTCTTCTGTGACTGTCAGGCGTCTTCATTGAACCTTTTCAGAAGAGCTTCCTGACCTGCAGTTAGAGTGTTGCAGTAGTGACCTTGGATGGAGGAGAAGCCATGATGCAGAATGTGAGGAGTGCAGGGGTCACAGTCACTTACTTTCTGGTCTTCCTGCTCTGGGTTTATCGTGACAGTGCACAACTGTCTGCATCAGAATGGCTTGTGAGGGAAGGCCTTAATCCCCTGCAGCTGTGGGGTCAGGAACCGTGTGGATGCAAAACTACAAAGAAAGTACACCGAGATGAAGGTGCGAGACAATGATAATTTAGCAAGTCAGGTTTTATACACTTTAAAGGTGTACCTAGCTTGGTTTTTATCAGTAGGCTGGAAGGAGTTGATGCAGGAGAGAAGGTGAAATCAGCTTTGAGCGCTGGGTTTTTCCAGCTTGCCCTTGATAGAGCTAGGGAGGCAGGGATTGGGTGCCACTCGCGCTGGTGAGCTACCGAGAGGGTATTGTGAGTTCCTCCATTGCGGTACCGATCAGCATCTCTTGTGCTCACACTCAAGCCGTGCCATTAGGAGACCCTTTGGCCACATGATGATTTCTTCACTAAGGTCTGCTTCTGTAAAACCCTAACAAAACAGAATACTACTTCTGGGAAGAAAGTCGGTGGTAGATAGCTAACCGTGTAACCGTGTATTGAGCTTGGTGGTAGCCAGTATCATGTGAGGGTGGCAGAGCATGGAGAACGTGTTATACGAGACAGTCTCTGAAATGCTTAAAAGCCCATCTCACCCTGAAAAACCTCTAAATAGATGTTGTGTTTCCCGTTTGTGTGTTTATGTATCTTGGCCTGCACCCCCCAAGCAACCCCAAAGCAGACACCAAAATGTCTAACTGATCTTTAGGTCAGTGTTGTTCACAGTATGTGTGGTGTTGGTCAAATTCAGGAAGAAACGTTGTGCCCCTGGGTGACCTTTGTCGGGCCATCTTGACTGTGGCAGAAATGAAATGTGGGATTTATGTGCTTGCCGTTAATTAAGAAAGTCACCAGCAACTCTTGATTGGATGTATGTTTAAGCAGAGAGATTCCAAGGGCCTTCATGGTTCCTAGTGGATGCCTTAGGGAAGGTGTAGCAAGGTGTACAACAATATGTATAGATTCATTTACAATTGAAACTTCAACCACAACCGCCAGACTTTCCAGGCTGTGAGCAGAAGAGCAGCTTTACTTGGGTTCTAGGGCTGGGGGATTCCTCTTCTTCCCCTTTCGCACTTGACATATAAAATGTTTTTTTTTTTTTTTTTTTTAACCCTCTTTCCAGACCATAAACACCTACTTCACTTTCTTTTTAAGATTTTCTTTTGCTCTTGATTTTTGTTTTCATAGTGGCATCTTCCTGGTCTTTTCTTCCCAACTTATTTTTGGACTTTGTGTGTCCCACTTGACTTTGCCCAGAAAAACCACAAACAATAACAAGTTATGTTTATGTGTGCACTGAAAGTCAAGCTAGCTGGCGTGCAGATCTGAGATGCAAACTGTGGTGCTGTGTAGCTGAATACAATAGCTGCTTTCTTGCCAGTGTTTGCAGCATTTGGACTTAAAGCTAATAATAATCTTCCCATCCCGTATACTTTGTTTTAATTGATCTAGAGAACACTGCTTATTTCAACAGTGGATCTACCAAGGTCGTCCCCACCCCATTTTGGTTGATGAGTGTACTTATTTAACCACAACTTGCCTTATATTTAAATAATTCTGGAACAAACTCTGAAATTATTGGGAGAAAAAGGCAGTCTTGATTCAGATGCGGAGAACAAAGGAATAAGGAGATACTGATAACTTCCTGCAATTAAACATAGGATAGATCGGGCAGTGGTTGTCTGTGTTCATAGGTTTATTAGCTAAGTCTAGAACTTACTTTTTAAGCTATCGCTTTCCATTCTGTTTAGCTCTTTCTCCTTGGATCTGAGTACAGAGTCATACTTTGATGAAAAGCTGGGGATATTGTCCAGGATGAGAAAATGTGGTTTTAATGTATTGGTGACATTAATATATGTCTTGGAAAATAATTTTTGCAAAGGTTGTCTGGAAGCTACTCTCTTAGGCGTATTTTCTCATTCCTTAGTCTGTGTCCCACCTCTTTACCTGGAAAACCAGGGAGTGCATACCTATTGACCTGATTCCTATTGTCACCCTTCCCCGTGTTTTGTTACCAATCCCAAATGGAAGACAGCTGTAGACAACTGAGAGAGAGCAGTCAGATTGCTCAGAAAGCCCCAGCTCTGCCTTGCTCCCCACCCCTCTGGACAAGCTCACACCTCCATTCCAAGTTTTCATTGTCTCTTCCCCTCCCCTCTTCCTGCCCTTATTTTTAACAGCAGGAACGAATTTCATATACACCTCCTGAGAGCCCTGTGCCGAGTTACGCTTCCTCGACTCCACTTCATGTTCCAGTGCCTCGAGCGCTCAGGATGGAGGAAGACTCGATCCGCCTGCCAGCGCACCTGCGTGAGTGTTTGCGCCGCGTGGCTTTGGCTGCCGTGGGGAAGGGGAAGACAGGTGGGCCACCTGCTTGTCTGTGGGAGTGACAGGCAGTGGGCTCCGGGTCAGGGAGGGTGAGTTCTGAGGTTCTTTTCCCGTGACTTCACCTGCTGCTTTGGCATCTTACTCCATCATCCCAGAATGGCCTCGAAACATTTGAGATTCCTCTTCTTGTTTCTCAGTGCATTCATCTTGTCCTGGTGATGATTTGTAAAAAAAAAAAAAAAAAAGGACTCTGGAGATGTGCATGTATGGCAGCGTCAGCTTAGTCGTCTGTTGGGCAATGTGAGTTTGCCTATTTGCAAAGTTTATCTGCATTCCTAAATTCCCACTTATTGCCTGGTATTTCCTTTGATTAAACATTTTGATCAGTTTTTGAGTCAACTCCTTCCCGTGTTTTTAAGCTTTCCCTTTCTTTATAAGCCTTCCCTACCTCCTTTCTTTTTTTTTCTTGCTGGCTGCTTTTCTTCATTTTATTTGATTTCTTATTTTTTTGTTGTCATTTGAAAGAAACGCAGAGAGAAACAGGCACACAGACGGACATTATCTTCCACCCACCGGGTCACTCCCCAAATGCCTACAACAGCCAGGGCTGGGCCATGCCAGAGCCGGAGGCCTGGAACTAAATCCAGGTTTCCTACATGGGTGGCAGGGATCCAGGTACTTGAGGCATCACAGGCTGATGCCAGTCTCCAAAGCAGTTGACACCTGTCATTTCCTTTTTGTGTGTCTTTCCTGCACTGCTACCCGGCCCAGGGGATAAAATACGATTCGGCACCTGGGAAGAATGGAACACTTGATTCCCAGCCTGATCTCAGTAGGGCCCAGGTCCTCACAGGAGGACATGGGGGTCCCATTGACCCTTCCCTAGTGGGTTTCCAGTGTGGCCTCATCGTGTTCATCATCTCTCTTGTTCGGTGTTCCCTGGTGAGTCTCCGCTTGGAACGTCTGCCCCCAGAAGGTTGGCGGCTGAAGAGAGAAGACAGAGAGCAGGCAGAGACAGATGATGTGGCTCCTCTTTATTTTTCTGTGACAGTTCCAGAACTTGGATTACTGTGGGTGCTAGAGGGTCTGGGGAGATGTTGCTGGATTATCCCTTCTGCCTCCCAGTGATGACAGCAGCAAGCAGCTGGAGCCCTGGGAACCCTTCCCGTCCTCCAGCGTACTGTGTCCACCAATAAAAACTAAATTGTTGTCCACTGTCTTCAAAACTGTCCTGCTCTCTTTCGGCAGGGAGTGGCACAGCCTTTACACACACAGCCCTAGTCTGCCGTCTTCTCATCCGTAGTGAACTTTTAAAGAAGAGATAGGGACTGTGATGGTGCCTGGGTCATGGCTGCAGGCCCTGTTGTCCTTAGTAAACTGGAGTGTTCTGGCAACGTTGGAGTGGGCAGAATTGGAAAGGAAAGTGGGCATAGCAAATTCGCTGCCAAAGCCGTCCTGTGCCCAGTGTACCCACTGGTGAATACCCATGCTGCACAGGTGGAACACTTCTCCCTACTCTCATTTATTCACTCCATGAAGAGTTAAGTCTCTGCCCAGGCTGTGCCAGGTATTCCTTTAGGTCCTGCGGGGACAGAAATGGACAAAGCAGACAAAAGTCCCTGCTCAGGGGGAGCTTAAATTCTAGTACAAAGCAGAAAAAAATTTTTTTGAAGACTTGTCCCAAACAGGCTAAGGTTTCTTGAATCTTTTATTCCTATATTTTGTGATACTTCACAATGATGCCCTCTCTCCTGCCTTGCCTCTGGATGCCTCAAGCTCTGTGACCATAAGAATCCCTCTCCTGAAGAGGTTATCATGGTCGAACAAGTGAGCACACACACACCCCACAACGGCAATGAGATCTTCATCTGCAACTGGTTCTGCTGCTTGCCTGTGAGTCAGTCGCTTACTCAGCGTCCTAACATACACCACTGTGTTAGGACAAGAGTACATCTAACAGCCTTCCCGGCTTTAAAATACGATTCTCATCTCAGGCAGCACTCTCCATTCTTGGAACTGTTGCCTCCCTAGCAGCAGTTGACTTTTTACTTGGGCAGACAGTTTGCTCAGTGAGCCATGTCTGTGCCACTCAGCAGTGCTTTGCCAGCTCCTGCCATGTGCCCAGCACACAATTGTGATAGTTTACATGAGTTGTGGGCTTGCCCCGGCCCAGGCACTATGCAGTGTCCTTTATATAAATTATTCTATCCCATTGTCACAATACCTGTAAGATAGCTTAATTTTATCTCAGTGTCACGCTAAGAACTTGGAGGATTTAAGTAATTTTTATGTTTGTTAAATATTTATTATTTATTTAAGTCAGAATTAGAGAGAGAGACAGAGAGCAATCTTCCATTCACTTGTTCACTCTCCAGATGGTTGTAGTGGCCAAAGCCAGCAGCTAGTAGCTTCATCCAGATCTCCTACTTGGGTGGCAGGGGCCCAAGTACTTGGGCCATCTTCTGCTGCTTTTCCCGGGCCATCAGCAGGAAGCTGGATTAGAAGTGGAGCAGCTGGGACACAGACCAGCACCCATATGGGATGCAGGTGTTGCAGGCGGCAGCTTTACCAGCTATGCCACAATGCCAGCCCCTAAGTAATTTTTCAAGGTCAGTCACAGAACCTAGTCAGAGATAAAGTCAACAGTTGAACTGAGTTCTGTCTGAACCCAGAGCGGAAGCTCTTGTCTGTTCTGCCACTGTTTAAGTATGTGTTTGTAACTACTCTTTGGATGTATAGAAGAGGGCAGGGCTGCCACTTCCGGTATTCACTGCAGTGGTTTATGGCTTGGAGCCCCTTGTGACTGTTGCCCTGTCTGTTGTTGCTGAGTCTGCCTGTCACTGTTAGATGGCTGGATGGTCTCCACCTGGCTAGCTGTCGACAATGGAACTGTAGCACAGCACTACGGACCTTGGCATAGAGTCAGGAGTTAGAAATTGGATTTAGGTTGGAATAATGGTTTTGCCTCAATGCCTACTCTATGGCACTCTAACTTTATTTCTTGTTTTTCTTTTTAGAAATATCCATTGTTTTATTTTGTTGTTTATTTGGGAGCAGAGAGAGAGCTCCTGTGTGCAGATTCACTCCCTAAAAGCTTGCTATGATCAGGGCTGGAAGAAGAACAAGTTGACTGATTACTGCTGTCTCCCAGAGTCCGCATTAGCAGGAAGCTGGAGCTGGGAGTTGGGAGTTGGTAATCAGTGCTGTGTACTGAGCTGGGCACTGCGATATGGGACGTGGGTGCCTTAACCAGCATTGTAACCTGTCCGCTCCAGGCTAAGGTTAGATACTGCTGCTAGGAAATCTGCCTGAGCCTGGTCGCGATACCATCACCTCCAGCATCCAGATTGAATCTGCCCAGGCCCTGCCGTCTGCCCTCCGCTGGGGCTCTCTGAAAGGGGCTTGTCCTCCCTGTGCCATGGAGAACTTGCTGCTCCACACATTTGAGATGAGCACACAGCCCCTTGATGGCAATGGCTGAGGCTGTGCCCTCCACGGGAAGATGTATCCCAGCTGAGTTTCCAAAGCTAAAAGAAAATAAATATTCTAACAAGGGATCTGGGTTATGGCTGTTTTAATCTGGGATTCCAGACAATTCCCAGCGGAATGCTCATGGAAAGTACGGGGAAGAATCTGAAAGGCAAGGCAGCAGCAGGACGTTTATGGTATTGCTAGGTTGAAGGCATTCCTAGCTGCTTGTTTTAAAGAGATAGTCACCAGACTGGTATGCCTCCCTGTGGCTTCTTTTCACCATTTATCACTGATCTCCAGATAAACCCTGTCTCTTAACTCTTTCTTCTTTCATTCTTAAATCAGAAAATATCCTTGAGTGGGAGCTGAGGGATGGGGGGGATCATATCCTTCAAGATTCTCATACAGAGTTTCTCACCGTTCTCTACTGCAAACAGTAAGCTAGACCCAAACTGCAGCACAGCGCGACAAATTAGTGAGCTATTGCAAAGTGGAAAGTGATGCTTTTCCTATTATTTGCCTGTGATAAAAGCAAAGTGATAAATGCAGCAAGTGTTAAGTGGTGATTATGGAGGACTTAAGGGAGGATAGGGGCAGGCAGGACCTGGGGCAGAAAAAAAGCCAAGGGAAGAAGGGCCTGGTGGGTGGGCCCCTGCCCTGGTCTGACTCATTGCTCGGTTACAGAACAGTGCCCCTCAGCAGTCCTCCGACAGAACTCTGCTCACCAGCAGTGCACACAAAAGGAGGTTTGTTGAGAGGATGAAAAGAAAATCAGCGTTTTTCTTCTTCTGTGATGGGTATTGAATTATTCTTAACATTGAAGGGGTTAAAAACATCTTTTTTTTTTTTTTAATTACATTTTAGCAAATGAGAGAAAGATCTCTTGGTCTGCTAATTCACTTCCTCAATGCCTACAACAGCTGGAGCTGGGCCAGGCCGTAATCTGGAGCCTGGAACTCAACGGGGCCTCCCACGTGGATGACAGGGACCCGCATATTTGAACCATTATCTGCTGCCTGCCAGGATGCACGTTAGCAGGATGGCAGAATTAGAAGCAGACCTGGAACTCCAACCCAGCCACTCAGTTTTGGGGTGGAGCATCTCAAGCTGAGTCTTAACCACTGCACCAAACTCTCATTGCCCCAAAGGTCCATTCTTTAAAGAGACTATCGGCGGCCGGCGCCACAGCTCACTAGGCTAATCCTCCGCCTGCGGCGCCAGCACTCTGGGTTCTAGTCCTGGTTGGGGTGCTGGTTCTGTCCCAGTTGTTCCTCTTCCAGTCCAGCTCTCTGCTGTGGCCCGGGAAGGCAGTGGAAGATGGCCCAAGTGCTTGGGCCCTGCACCCGCATGGGAGACCAGGAAGAAGCTCCTGGCTCCTGGTTTCGGATCGGCGCAGCACACCAGCCACAGCACGCCATTTGGGGGATGAACCAATGGAAGGAAGACCTTTCTCTCTGTCTCTCTCTCTCTCTCTCTCTCTCACTGTCTAACTCTGCCTGTCCAAAAAAAAA